TCTCGGCTCACTGCAAGCTCCGCCTCCTGGGTTCACGCCATTCTCCTGCCTCAGCCTCCCGAGTAGCTGGGACTACAGGCGCCCGCCACCACGCCCAATTAATTTTTTTGTATTTTTAGTAGAGACAGGGTTTCACCGTGTTAGCCAGGATGCTCTCAATCTCCTGACCTTGTGATCCACCCACCTCGGCCTCCCAAAATGTTGGGATTACAGGCGTGAGCCACTGCACCTGGCCCAACATTTTTTTATTTTTTGAGACAGAGTCTCACTGTGTCACCCAGGCTGGAGTGCAGTGGCATGAGCATGGTGCTCACTGCAGCCTCAACCTTCTGGGCTCAAGTGATTCTCCTACCTCAGCCTCCTGAGTAGCTGAAACTACAGGCATGTGCCATCACCAACCCTGGATAATTTTTTTTTCTTTTTTGTGGTTAAAATGGAGTCTCACTCTGTCGCCCAGGCTGGAGGGCAGTGGTGCGATCTCGGCTCACTACAACCTCTGCCTCCTGGTTCAAGAGATTCTCCTGCCTCAGTCTCCTGAGTAGCTGGGACTACAGGCGCACACCACCATGCCCGGCTAATTTTTGCATTTTTTTTTTAGTAGAGACAAGGTCTCGCCATGTTAGCCAGGCTGGTCTCAAACTCCTGTCCTCAGGTGATCCACCCACCTGAGCCTCCCAAAGTGCTGGGATCACAGGCCTGAGCCACTGCCCCCAGCGTAATTTTTATATTTTTGTATATATTTCACCATGTTGCCCAGGTTGGTATGGAACTCCTGAGCTCAAGCAATCCACTCACCTCAGCCTCCCAAAGTAAAGCTAAACATTTTAATACAAAAGGGAACAAAATTTTTCATTCAAAGACATCATCCATAGAAAATAAAATAAACAGCCGGGCACAGTGGCTCCTGCCTGTAATCCCAGCACTTCGGGAGTCCGAAGTGGGGTGGACTGCTTGAGGCCAGGAGTTCGAGACCAGCCTGGCCAACATGGGAAAATCCCATTTCTACTAAAAATGCAAAAATTAGCTGGGCATGGTGACCCACACCTGTAATCCCAGCTACTCAAAAAAAATAATAATAATAATAGAAAATAAAATTTTTAAAAAGATTTCCAGAATGAAATAATTACAGAATACAATAGAGAAGAGAGGAGAGACAATAAATTAAAGGACGGAAAGGAGAAAGGAGGCAGGAAAGGAAGGTAAGATAGAAATTTATCTGCACTGGCTAGGCAGGGTGGCTCACACCTGTAATCCCAGCACTTTGGAAGGCCAAGACAGGCAGATCACTTGAAATCGAGAGTTCAGACCATCCTGGAGAACACAGCGAGACCCTATCTACAAAAAATGCAAATACTGGCCAGACATGGTGGCACGCCTGTGGTCCCAGATACTCGGGAGGCTGAGGTAGAAGGATCGCTTGAGTCCAGGAGGTTAAGTTGCAGTAAGCCACGATCACATCGCCATTGCACTCCAGCCTGAGCAACAGGGCAAGACACTATCTTAACAACAACAACGAAAAAAAAAAAAATGAGGCCAGGCGTGGTGGCTCAGCCTGTAATCCCAGCACTTTGCGGGGCGAGTCGGGCGGATCACCTGAGCTCAGGAGTTCGAGACCAGCCTGGCCAACATGGCGGAACCCCGTCCCTACTAAAAATACAAAAATTAGCTGCACGTGGTGGCGCGTGCCTGTAATCTGTAATCCCAGCTACTTGGGAGGCTGAGGCATGCGAATCGCTTGAACCTGGGAGGCGGAGGTTACAGTGAGCAGAGATGGCCCCACTGCACACCCGCCTGGGCGACAGAGTGAGACTCCGTCTCAAAAATAAAAAAAAGAAAGAGAAAAAGAAAAGAAAGCAAAAGAATGAAAAAGAAAAGTCCGAAACCTCCTGCTCCACTGTCCGCTGGATGGGCGCGTTAGAAAAGGAGAGGTCAGCTACCCTCGCACAGCTACCGCCCCGGGTCCCTTTAAGGGAGAGTTCCGGAGGGGCGGGTCCTGCCTTTAACTCCGTCCGCGGCTAAGGAGACGCACGGCCTATGAGAGGGGCGGTGTGGGGCGGAGCCAATGCGTACGGCGTGACGCCATCCCGCTGCGACCGGCGCTAGCCGGAGCAGGTGGCTGCATAGTAGGGGCTGAGGTGAGCTGGGGCTCCGGGGTGTTGCTGCTGGGGGAGGAGTTGCTGGGGACCCGAGGCACCCTCGCGTGAGAGCCCTGAGAGGGAATGGCGTCGTCTGACCTCCGGGTTGTCCGGGGCGAAGGGACGAGTCACCCCAACCTTTCCGAAGCCCAGTGGAATGGACTCATTATGAACTGATCCGAAAAGCAGCCCAAGTCATCCGTCGCTGGGGCGGGGAGAGGGACACCGCGGCGGCTCCTCCGAGTGCTACCCGGGCAGTGAGCCTGTCGGGAGAGGAGGCCCAGCGGGGTGGAGAGAGATAAGGGACCAGTAACGGCCAGCGGTTATCCGTGGTATTGAGCGTTCTGTGGGTCAAATTCTCAAAGCACTCCTGTGAAATAGGCCCGCCCATTTTGCAAAAGGGGAACGTGAGGCTTCGCGAAGTTACCGCTTTGTAAGCGCTATAAAGACGAGAGGTTGGGTAGTGGGGAACGTGTAAGCATCTCTAAAATGGTGATTCAAGCCGGGCGCGGTGGCTCACGCCTCTTAATCCCAGCACTTTGGGAGGCTGAGGCGGGCGGATCACCTGAGGTCAGGAGTTCGAGACCAGTCTGGCCAACATGGCGAGACCTGGTCTTTACTAAAAATACAAAAATTAGCAGGGCGTGGTGGCGCAGGCCTGTAGTCCCGGCTACTCGGGAGGCTGAGGGAGGAGAATCCCTTGAACCCGGAAGGCGGAGGTTGCAGTGAGCCGAGATCGGGCTACTTCACTCCATCCTGGGCGAAAGAACTAAACTCTATCTCAATAAAAATAAATAATAAAATGGAGATTCAAGAACGCTAAGAAAAAAGCTGTTTCTGGGTGGAGGGGGGAACAAAAAAAAAGAAAAAAACTGTTTCTGGACTAACTTGGACAGTTCTTGTGACAAAATTCATTTGGCATCATAACCACCAGAATATGAGACTTTGGAATTTGCTTTTCAGGTGATCAAAGCCACAGTAATGTCTGTAGTTCGTTCATCCGTCCATGCCAAATGGATTGTGGGGAAGGTAATTGGGACAAAAATGCAGAAGACTGCTAAAGTGAGAGTGACCAGGCTTGTTCTGGATCCCTATTTATTAAAGGTGAGAAACATTCTTGTTTCCGGGTGGCTTTGGTAAATCACCAACATGTCCTTGGTCCTGAGCAAAAAAACATTTCTCTCTCACTAAAGATGTCTTGTCTCTCATCTGCGTTGAGCTAGGCATTCTGCTGGTCTGTGGGTATAACATGGTTCACACATTCCAAGAAAACAGAGTTAATGTCATCCCACTCTAACTGTTGTAGTCATTCTGTGTGCAAAGTACTGGCCGGATGAGGTGACTCACACCTGTAATCCCAGCACTTTGGGAGGCGGAGGCAGGTGGATCACCTGAGATCACGAGTTCGAGACCAGCCTGGCCAACATGGTGAAACCCCATCTCTACTAAAAATACAAAAATTAGTTGGGCATGGTGGAGCACACCTGTAATCCCAGCTACTCTGGAGGCTTAGGCAGGAGAATCGCTTGAACCCAGGAGGCCGAGGTTGCAGTGAGCCATGATTGTACCATTGCACTCCATCCTGGACAAGAGTGAAACTCCGCCTTAAAAAAAAAAAAAAAAAAGTACTGTGGGAGCAGAGAACAGAGCATCTCATTCTCCTATGAGTGCTGTAGGAAAGCAACCTTGATTAAGGGACATTTTAGCTGAATCTCAAAAAGGATTTTATCCAGCTGGGCAGTGGCTCACACTTGTAATCTCAGCACTTTGGGAGGCTAAGGCAGGCAGATCACCTGAGGTGAGGAGTTCGAGACCAGCCTGGCAGCCTGTCCAACATGGCAAAACCCTGTCTCTACTAAAAATATAAAAAATAGTCTGACATGGTGCCAGGTGCCTGTAATCCCAGCTACTCAGGAGGCCAAGGCAGGAGAATTACTTGAACTTGGGAGGCAGAGGTTGCAGTGTGCTGAGATCACGCTATTGCACTCCAGCCTGGGTGACAAGAGTGAAACTCCATCTCAAAAAAAAAAAAGATTTCATCCAAAGGACTCGGTGGGGGGAAGTCATTTCAGCTATGATGAGTGGTTTGTGGAAGTTCATTTAGCCATGATAGGGCATGACATTCTACGGGAACATAGTGGTTTGGCAACATTGAGCCTAGAGCTTGGCATTTAGTAGGCATTCTTAAATGAATGACAAGGACAGTTGGGCTAGAATATGAAGGGTCTTTTGTGTTTTAGATTTCATCCTTATTATTTTCTTGAGACGGGGTCTTGCTCTGTCACCCAGGCTGGAGTTCAGTGGTGCCATCTCAGCTCACTGCAACTTCCTGGTTCAACCAATTCTTATGCATCAGCTTCCTGAGTAGCTAGATTTCATCCTTTAAGCCAGCAGTCCTCAACCTTTTTGGCACCAGGGACCAGTTTCATGGAAGACAGTTTTTCCACAGAGGCAGGGTGGGGGGAGGATGAAACTGTTCCACCTCAGATCATCAGGAGTTAGATTCTCATAAGGAGCGCACAACCTAGACTCCTCCCATGCACAGTTCACAATAGGGTTTGTGCTCCTATGGGAATGTAATGCCACTGCTGATCTGACAGGAGGCGGCGCGCAGGTGGTAATACTCATGGTGGCTCAACGCCGCTTACCTCCTGCTGTGCGGCCCTGTTCCTCACAGGCCACTGAATGGTATCAGTCTGCTGTCCTGGGGGTTGGGGATCCCTGCTTGAACCCAAAGAAAGACAGGCTTGGAAACACGGGTAGGGATGAAGACTGGAGGAAAGGGAATGGGCAGAGAGGCTGCTGCAAAAGTCTAGGATGGAAATAAGGACCTGAACTAAAGTTGATGTAGTGGGGATGGAGTGGAAAAAATATTTCAGGAAGAAAGGACAGAGTCATTGATTTGTTTGCTGTGCCAGGGGGCGAATAGGTGCTGAGGATGGTTTCACATCCAAAGTTCGGCACACAGGTGGGTAGAAATGCTGTTCATTATCAAGGATTAGAAACACAGGAGTAAGCTGAAGAATGACTGCATGATCCTTGACCTTTGAGAGACCTTAGTTTGAATACTGACTCTTGTTTACCAGCTACACACATTGCTTAACCTCCCTGAACTTGTTTTCCTCGTATTTAAAATGGGAATACCTGCTGCAGCAGGGTTGTTATAAAGAATAGGTGATTCTAGGCTGGGCGCAGTGGCTCACGCCTGTAATCCCAGCACTTCGGGAGGCTGAGGCAGGTGGATCACCTGAGGTCAGGAGTTAGGGACCAGCCTGGCCAACATGGTGAAACCCCATCTCTACTAAAAAATAAAAATAAAAAAATTAGCTGGGCATGGTGGCAGGCACCTGTAATTCTAGCTACGTGGGAGGCTGAGGCAGGAGAATCTCATGAACCTGGGAGGCGGAGGTTGCAGTGAGCCGAGATCGTGCCATTGCACTCCAGTCTGGGCAACAGGAGCAAAACTCTGTCAATGAATCAGTCGATCAGTATAATAGGTGATTCTAGTTACCATTTGTAGTTTATTTGCAGTACTTTGAGCTAAGCATAGAGCTAAGTGCTTGATGTATATTATAACATTGAATTGTCTTGATAACTTTAGAGGTGCAGGTATTAGAGCCTCATTTTATTGTGGAAAACGCTGAGCTTGGAGTGGTTAAGTGACTCACAGCTAGTGGTGAGGGTAGCATGCTTATAGGCTAGAGGGAAGGCTCCAGTGGGAAGGAAGAATATAAACAATATAGGAAGAGATGGTAACTGATAGAGCAAGGGTACTGAAGGGAATGACCTGGAGTGCTTAGTGAGAAGATCAACTCTGGAAATGTCATCCTGTTTTCCAAAAATTAAACAGCTAATTTTGTGGGATTTGTTTTTGACACAGGATAACTGTCACCCAGGCTGGAGTACAGTGGCATGATTCTAGCTCACTGCATCCTCAAACTCCTGGGCTCAAGCAGTCCTCCTGTCAGCCTCCTAGGAGGCCGGTGCTAGAGGCATGTCACCATGCCTGGCAGTTTTTTTTTTTTTAGGTAGAGAACGGGTGTCACTGTATCACTCAGGCTCTAATTTTTGTACTAGAAGACTCCTTAAGTATCTTATCTTTCCTAAGTCCTGGCTTGTTTTCCATGCATTACTTTTTCATATTACATATTGCATTACCAGGTCACAGATGGGAACTACTGATTTGTTTCTCTCCCTCTCTCAACAGTATTTTAATAAGCGGAAAACCTACTTTGCTCACGATGCCCTTCAGCAGTGCACAGTTGGGGATATTGTGCTTCTCAGAGCTTTACCTGTTCCACGAGCAAAGCATGTGAAACATGAACTGGCCGAGATCGTTTTCAAAGTTGGAAAAGTCATAGATCCAGTGACAGGAAAGCCCTGTGCAGGAACTACCTACCTGGAGAGTCCGTTGAGTTCGGAAACCACCCAGCTAAGCAAAAATCTGGAAGAACTCAGTATCTCTTCAGCACAGTGAAGGGGGAGTGGAAGAAGGAGCTAAAGGGGAAAATTGACATGTTTATGTTATGGAAAAAGAAATTTTTCTAAGTTTCATCACAAACTGTGTCCAATTTCTCTGTGGTGTTCGTGAAATAGCTAAAAGCAAATGAAGTAAAGGGCATATTGTGGTTTTTCATAAAAGTTTATGGTTATGTGTCAAATTTTCATTTCAGTGAACATACTTCCACGTTACACTAAGTGTGCCTACCAGTCTATTGCATTTTGTGAGCTCACTGTTTCAGAAGGTTTTGTTTTTGTTTTTTGAGACAGGGTCTCGCTTTGTTGCCCAGTCTGGAGTACAGTAGTATAATCTTGGCTCACTGCAGCCTCGACCTCCCTGGCTCCAGCATCTTTCTACCCCAGCCTTCTGAGTAGCTGGGAACACAGGAGCATGCCATTACACCTGGCTGATTTTTTGTAAATTTTGTAGAGACAAGGTCTCCCTGTGTTGCCCAGGCTGGTCTTGGAGCCCTGGGAGCGATCTGCCCATCTTGGCCTACAAAAGTGCTGGGATTACAGGCCTGAGCCAGTGTGCCCAGCCGGTTTCCTTATTTTCATTCAAAGGAATTTTGAATTTATCTTAGAACCTTTATTTTGAAGGAAGGAAGGAAGAAAGTTTGTTTGAGATGGAGTTTCGCTGTTGTTGCCCAGGCTGCAGTGCAATGGCATGATCTTGGCCCACCACAATCTCCGCCTCCCAGGTTCAAGTAATTCTGGGATTACAGGCACGTGCTGGGATTACAGGCATATGCCACCATGCCTGGCTAATTTTGTATTTTTGGTAGAGACGGGGTTTCTCCATGTTGGTCAGGCGGGTCTTGAATTCCCAACCTCAGGTGATCCACCTGCCTTGGGCCTCAAAGTGCTAGGACTACAGGCATGAGCCACTACACCCGGCCAGAAGAAAGCCTCTTAATATAAACAGATAAGACCACATTAAGTGAATATTGTTGATCCTATGTAGGCAAAATAAATATTTTTCTGATTTCACCAGTTCCAAAGAGAAATAACATGCTTATGGTCAGAATTCTTTCAATCAAGCTGTGTTAGTAAGAATGTTGATGTGTGGAAAATAAAATTTTATAATTCTGTGTCACTTTTCTTATATCCTAGACTAGATTAAATAGGTATAAATTCCTAAAATCTGACACATTAAGTTGTAGGACTTCTCCCACATGCATTTGAAGAGATGAAGAGTGAGTTTTGTTGCTATTCATTAATACACCACGATAACTTACATTTTGACTTAAGGAAGCATTGGGCAGTATATTTCTTTTTTTCTTTTTCTTTTTTTTTTTTTTTGAGGTGGAGTCTCTGTTGCCCAGGCTGGAGTGCAGTGGCACAATCTTGGCTCACTGCAACCTCCGCCTCCTGGGTTCAAGCAATTCTGCCTCAGCCTTCTCAAGTAGCTGGGACTACAGGAGTGCACCGCCATGCCCAGCTAATTTTTTTTTTTATTTTTAGTAGAAACGAGGTTTCACCATGTTGGCCAGGCTGGTCTCGAACTCTTGACCTCAGGTGATCTGCCCAACTCAGCCTCCCAAAGTGCTGGGATTACAGGCATGAGCCGCTGCGACCGGCCAAAAGGGGAATATTTAAATCTTAGCTGATACATGTTTGTTTTGAGATGGAGTCTTCGCTCTGTTGCCCAGGCTAGAGCACAATGGCATGATCTCAGCTCACTGCAACCTCTGCCTCCCAGGTTCAAGCGCTACTCCTGCCTTTGCCTCCTGGGTTCAAGCGCTTCTCCTGCCTCAGCCTCCCAAGTAGCTGGGATTACAGCCACCTGCCACCATGCCCAGCTCATTTTGTATTTTTAGTAGAGATGGGGTTACAGCATGTTGGACAGGCTGGTCTTAAACTCCTGACCTCAAGTGATCCGTCTGTCTCAACCTGCCAAAGTGCTGGGATTACAGGCGTGATAAACTCCTGACCTCAGGTGATCGTCCGCCTCGGCCTGCCAAAGTGCTGGGATTACAGGCGTGAGCCACCGTGCCCAGTCTTGATACATGTATTGTGTCAGCACAGGGTTTCCAGGATGATCACAGGCCTTGCCCGCCTCAGGGATCAATCTAGCTGGGGAAGTATGCACAGGTGCCTCCATGGCAAACAGGATATGGGTGAGGGTGAATTGAAGGTCACTTCCCAGGAGAGATGAGTTGGTGCTAGAAGTAAGCGTTGAAGCAAGAGTCTGCAGGACAGAGATGATCGGGTGGAAAGGACATTTGAGGCAGAGGAAAGGGAATGTAAAATCCACAAAGTCAATGAAAGTATAACCAGGGCTTCTGGAAGCAGATAATTGCTACGACATTTTCAGCAGTGGTGGAACTCAGAAATAGGTGAAAGTAACTGTAAGTAATAGTGGTTGAACGTTTTAAAGAGTGATAAAATTGCATTTGCATTTTAATAAAAGTGCATGATTGTAGAGAACGGACAGGAAGGGGACATGTTAGAGATGGGGAGACTGCAGTTCAAAGACTGGTCCTAAGACCCAAACTGAGTTGTGCAGGGAAGGACTGAATAACAGCAGTGAGGGATTGAATAACAAGTTCCAAGGTAGAACTGGTGCCAGGGTAGGTGAGTGAAAAAGGGAAGCATCTTAGACTGTCCAGATCTCCAGCAGGTGGGGCTGTGGGACTGCTTAGCCTGGAAGGGTACAGGAAAGTATCGGGTATCTCCCACAAAAAAAAAATGAGTTCGGCTGGGTGCTGCGGCTCATGCCTGTAGTCCCAGCACTTGGGGAGGCCGAGGCGAGCGGGTCATAAGGGCAGGAGTTCGAGACCAGCCTGATCAACATGGTGAAATCCCATCTCGACTAAAAATACAAAAATTAGCTAGGCATGGTGGTGGGCGCCTGTAATCCCAGCTACTCTGGAGGCTGAGGCAGGAGAATCACTTGAACCTGGGAGGTGGAGGTTGCAGTGAGCATTGCACTCCAGCCTGGGCAACAAGAGTGAGATTCCATCTCAAAAAAAAAAACAACAACAGATGTCTACAGTATCTGGATTTTTTAAGAGGAAAAAAAATTTGTTATTTCTACCATTAATTTTTTTTAACCTTAGGCCTAAAGATACTTATGGCTGAGTATATCAA